TGATAAACAACTGCAGTTCTCGCGTAGCGTCCTGATGCAACCTCCCTTTTGTTACAGTGTTCAGTGCCTTGTGGAGTGGGGCAGAGGACCCGAGATGTGAAATGTGTCAGCAACCTTGGAGACATTGTTGATGATGAGGAATGTAACATGAAGCTGCGGCCAAATGATATTGAGAACTGCGACATGGGTCCCTGTGCTAAGAGCTGGTTCCTTACAGAGTGGAGTGACAGGGTAAGGCTTCTCATTATCTTTGTGCTGCCAAATCTTCTAAAACAACCAAGGTGCATCAGAATTAAAAAATATGCATCTGTACAGCCATAAAAGGAGTAACCTTATTTTCCATGTTTATCCTTGATCTGTTAAACAGGCAAGAGCAAACAAAAAAACTAATGATCCCAAGGGCATCTTGAGTTTGTGTTAGATACAAGAATGCATAGCAAGGGCAAGCATGTGGGTACATGGCCAAACATCTGGATTTAGAATTGGCTCTGTGTCTGAACTTCCCAAATTACTGAGTGTGCTGAGATTTATTATTCTGCCTTACTTAGCCCTGAGTCTCAAGATTCAGACTCTAAAAGTTTCCCTACTGTTTTTTTTAAGGGATAGAGGTTTGAGACCTGATGTCTGGGTTTAAGTTCAAGCCATAAACCAATTATCCTATAGCTGCAGAAAGAGGGGAACAACTTCATATACTCAGGCAAGGTTGATTCAGGCTTTTGTACTTTGTGAACATGGATGTATTTTTTTTATTCCAATGAGTCAGGTTCTCTGCATGAAAGCAATAAAACCAGTGGTGATTTACCTTGTTTCATGATTGAGCTCAGGGCTGTTCACTAGTCATACATGCTTTCATTATGTGCTTTCATTAAAAGGCTTACAAACGCGGGCTAAGAAAAGCCTGGTGTTTTGGTCCCTCTTGTGGATGCTTGCCTGTCAATTTCATCTGTAGGCAAGTTGAGCTTTCCCACTGTAAAATCCTGATTGCATCCCCCATTTCTTTGACTGGTTGTTTTGGCAGGCAAATAATATAATTTATCGTTGAAGCTGTAAGATTACATTTATACGTTCACGGATTCATTAGATCATTTTGTGGTAGGATCTCTGAAAGCTGGGAGTGTCTGGCTCATAGTTTATGCATAAGTTTGGACACCTAGAAGATTTTCCCACATGTTTTAGATGCAGAGAAGGAGGAGGAACTTCACAAGTAGGACAGGTACCTGGTATGTCACATAATTTTTAAAATCAGACTCTTGCTACAATTAAAGGCCTGCAAAATTTTCAGCCTCCAGACAATTCAAATAGATTTTATAAAACAAAAAAATTATACACTAATAAATCTGTGTTGGCTGTCATTTGAACTTTTTTCCCCAGTTGTTATTCACTCAGTGTATGCTCTTATATAGCATGGACAGAAAGTTACCAGGTGAAGTATAAGTATTAGTGCAAATGGCAAAGTTTTGCTGCGGGGGAAATGGCAGTGCCTTTTATTTTTTTTTTAGCTTGTAGAGCTGTTCTTTGTATGGTGCTATTAAAGTGATATTTTACAAATAAGAGAGAAAAATGCATTCTACCCTCAAAGACATCTTTCTTGAAAAAGCTACTATCAGCTAGTGCAGTTCCACCACATAAAACACATACATTCCAGTGAAGACTCTAGCATTAATGTTTCCTTCATTACTCTACGTTGATATTTTGTTCTCTGCAGAATTAAAAGTAGTTTTTGTAGCTGAAGGTCATGACTGTAGAATGTTACTATGCTTATTTATATGTATTAAGTGAGACATAAAAGTGAAGCAGATAATGTGGAAAATGTTGGAGCTTTTTCTTACCACAAACGTTTTAGGGTCAGAGAGTAACAAATGGATTTTGTTAACTTCTCAGCTTATATAAGTGTACAAATTAATTTCTTCCAAATGCTTGCTACTGTAGTTGGCATTATTCACCATCGCTTCTGCCAGCAGTGGGTTTGGAGTTCGATTCAAAAAGAGAATGGAAGGAACAGCTTATTTCAGGAAAAAAGTAGATTTGGGCTAGAATGTGCAGAATCTTCTAAGGTTCATACATACCTTATAACTCAGATGTTCAGAGACGTTTAGTGGCAGTGATTCCAGTGGAAGTCAGTGGAATATAAGAGTAGTCAATAGCTTTGCAAAGTCAGGCCTTTGGCTATTAGCTTTCTTACCGTGCCTTTCAAGGGCTGTTTTTTAGGATCAGAAGTCTCTCTTTCTTCGTAGACGAGTGTGTTTCTATTGAAAGACAAGAGGAGAATTCTGTCATGGAATGGAAATGGCCATTCCCAGGTGTATGGAGTTTGTATATGTAATTTCCGCAAACAATTATTTAAAAAGTACTTTAAGCCAAGCCACACTTCAGCAATAAGCACAGATCAGCGATGGGCAGCCACAAATGGTTCAGATAAGCAGCCAAAAGTTCAAATGCTTAAAGAAAGCTTGTTCAAACCTCTTGAGTCTGCAAAACTGTGGTGGAAATCTCACAAGAACAGACCTTCTTTGTGAGATTTATTACATGCCTACTTCAAGTCCCAGCTGGAAATACCACAGAACAGTCTTTCCCATTGTATTTTGACATTTCAGCCGTGGCTAGAAATAAGAGGTAAAAGAACTTATCATAACTTCTGAGAACGTTGGAACTTGGAAATGGTTAAGTTCAAACTTGGTTACAGCCATAGAGAAGTCCTGGCCTGTACTTTCCTGAACTCATTTTGCAAACACATAATGTGTACTGTTGCACAGGCAGCAAGTAGAGATTTCCAGAGGCCTGTCAGAGATCGGTTAGGCACATACTTTCTCTTTCAGCAAGGGATGTATCAAACTTCCATGTCCGGATTTATGTGATGCATGGGGCGTTACAATATAGCCTTGGTTAATTAGCAAAACATCAAGAAAAAGCACAGTAACATAAAAATTACAATTGCCTTTGCTGCCAACAGATGTTAAATTTCAGGATTTGATAACTGTGATACATATTTGTGCAGAATTTGACAAGGGTATTCTTTAACACAGGGAGAGAAAGAGATGAATAGTCACATACGAGTTCTAAGAAAAGGACAGGATCTAATTTAGGATTGGTGGAAAGATTTGGGGTTTTCTTATTTTACTGAAACCTTGCAAAGTTTTAATTGATGCAAAGTCATGCTGGTTGCCTTCATTTTCATTAATAGTTTCTGTGGTTCTGAATTGGAAGATTATATCAGTAAATTCCCCTAAATGTAACTTCGGCAATACAACGTATGTGCACTTAAAAACCTGCAGAGTACATACAGAGTTGTGTGTAGGAGTTGCGTCTCCTTCCCAGGGTGGGGCTGTATGTAGCTTTACTCCGTGAATAACTCGTCTGCCTTCTTGCCATGTGCTCCCACCTTGTTTTCCCACAACATGTATTTATGTATTTTATGGCCCACCTGTTTCACCCCATGGCGTTGACCTTCTTGGATTCAGTTTCTGCACAGACCGATTCTTCATACATATAATTAATCCTAAGTAATTAAAAAAACTCCATGTTTCTAAAACAATACAGTTCTTTATTTGAGTTATATTGATAAACAGCTATCAGAGTCCATTGTATGTATGTTACACACACTTTTAACTGCAAAGCTTATCAGTTGTATGGCTACCAGGTGCACACTGGTAGAACATGTAAAGGAAGGAAGGAAGGAAAGCAATTAATCCTTAAGAAACAAACCCTTATTTCCTGAAAAGTATATGCCCTATTATTTGTCTTTGAAGTAGATCTAAACACCATATTCTGATATCCCCCAGACTCAATCTTGAGAGAAGCAGAAATTTTTACTCATTTCAATGGGAAAGATTACAGGTCAAAAGTCTCTAGCAGCAAAGTGAGACTCATCTTTGTATGTGCCTGTCTTTATTGCTCTATCTTGAGTATAAATAAGAGAATTAACTTAAGTTTCATGGCTTTGTCTTCTACATGATCTTTAATCCCTTTTGATTATAGAGAGTCTGGACAAACTTTTGTGATACTTTTGCATGCATTGGTAGAAAGATGGCTTCCTGTCTCATAATTCTCTTAAGATGTCATACTGCATTAAAACGTCAGAGTTTCACCAAACTGCATCCATTAATCAGTAGAGTAAAGCTGGTGAACCTTACTGAACTTAGCAACAAAATTGGATTGATGGGAGCAGATGAGATTCTTGCAAACATTTCACATGACTGATTCTTTGACAGCTCTAATTGCTGCAAAGTTTATTTCTCCTGTGGGTCAGAAGCGGGAAACTGCATTCTCCTGATTTACAGCAATGGGAGACTCACCGGTGTTTCCTTCCAGCTAACTGGAGCATTCCCCTCATGCATTTTTGTTTAGTCCTCATTGCCATCTCCTCTGTTCATTTGTTTCTCATTTTATGTTTAGAGCATACCTAGAAAAGAAGCCAAAATACAAACAATTCTTAGATGTTAATGAGATTCTGAGGCCAAAATAAAATCTTGGTAAGAAAGAAAAAATGCTGCACATCAGGGAACAAAATCAAAACAGATCAAACACATGCTCTGGATTTCACTCTTCATTAAAAGGAGTAAGAGCAATGCTTCTGTAATATCTTCCAGTAGAGAGCTGTATTATGCTTCATAAAATACAATATTTTATTCCTCACAATCCTAAAGCATTACCTAACAGGTACAAGTGGGTTTGTTGACCAGCCAGTGTGGAACCACCAGTGAATATTGTAGCTCACACTCTTCTTTCACTGTTTTTTATTTAAATCTGGATAGCTCACGTAAAGTCTCCTGGATCCTGAAAAAAAAAAAAAAACAAAGGAAAAGAGACAACCATGGAGCTTGTGCAGGCATTTCATTATTTTTGATTATCACTGTTTATTTGTTTTCAGTATAAAATGAAAACAAGGTAAAATACCCCTTTCCAATGATTTCATGTGGGAATCACATGGAAATAGAAGTTCTGCATTCTTTATGCATAAATGTGTAACTCACTTCATGATTTGCAATGAAATATATAGCCAGGAGAGTTTTCAAGGAGACATGGGTAGAAGGATGGCCAAGACCTACAGGGATTTCTGTTTTCATCTCTAGAGCTGATCTTTCTTTGCCACAATTCAGCTGCTTTAGATGAAAATCAGCATATGAAAGTCTGCATGGCAGGGAGGAGCCTTGCCAGCTAGGGCCCACAGTCTCCCAGTTAGGTCAGCAGGGCAGATTCACAGGTGGCAGGCAGGGGCAAACAGGAGTCCACAT